GAAAGATACAGATGTGTGGGGTGGGTGTGCATGTGTTTTGTGTGCCTTCACGTTGGTTCTGACTTATGGTGACTCCAAAAGCAAACCTATCATGGGGTTTTCTTGGCAAGATTGGGACCAAGGAGGTTTGCCATTGCCTTCCCCTGAGGCTGAGAGCATATGACTTGCCCAAGGTCACCCAGCGGGTTTCATGGCCAAGCAGGAATCGAGCCTTGGTTTCCAGAGTCATAGTCTGACACTGAAACCATTATGCCACACTGGCACAAATTCCATATTTATTCATAAATAAGACTTATTGAAATTCACTTCAGTCTTAGGCATGTATATGGGAAGCTCACATTACAATTCACTATAATGTTTCTTTACAACAAACACATCTAGAGCGAGGATCATTCCCAGTCCCTGTATCTACAAACATCTTTGAATCACTGTGTGTTTGTACCCATCTGTGCTTCATGAGCTGGTGGTACTAACAATAAGCTTGTAGTTCTAAGAAAGCTGCTCTCATAGATGTCTTACAGATTACAACAACCTTTTGCTTTTTTACTACAACCCCCAATTCCCAGAATCCCTCAGGCAGCATAGCCCAAAAAGTACATTTTCAAACTAAACTCTGTCTACATCTATTCCCATCTGAGCATGTTTCACTGGCATAGAAACAGTATTTGAATCTTTGTACAGTACATGTTTGCATGAGTCATAGTAATTCTTAGAAGTTCCCATAAAAATAAATATTTTTTAAAATGAGGTTAAAATGGCATTAACTGGAATACTAATGTTGAAGGTTTAGGTATACTCATGTGCAGACAGGTTACACCAGGGGTCGTCAACCTATGGTCCAGGGGCTGGGTGCGGCCCCCCAGGCCTCTGGATCAGCCCCCGCCACCACCGTGTACATAGCTGTCGTTTTGGAAAACAAAATGGCGGCCGCGACTCGCTTGCATATGCGCAGTACTCTGGAAGTACTGCGCAGGCATGAGCGAGTGTGCACATGCATGTGCGCGCACCACCTTCCCCCCCCCCGGCCCAGTGGAAGACCCCAGGACCAGCGGACCGGCCCCAGATCTGTAAATCTTGCTGACCCCTGGACTACACAAAGGCAAAGATCACATTTCTTATTAAAAATGGAAGGTGCTCAATAAGTTGATTCACATGTGGGATGATTACATCACTGTTCTGGGTTTTTGATTGTTTTTCTGCAGAAGAAAGATGGCAGATATTACAGGAAGATAGTTTTGATGATGACCTCATACAGATGCCTTATAAAATGTAAACCAAGAAAGTGTGGCAAGTTCACACAAAACACACCATGCAGAAGCATCTCCAGATAAGCTGAATATGTTATGTAGTTTAACTTGTAGCAAACCTACAGAGTTTCAAATTGCACACAGGAGCCTGAAAAAGCCTCAGCCATCGGAGATTCTGGGATTCTGGGAGCTGCAGTCCAAAAAAGTAACTAGAAAGTGCCCTACCTATCTGAAGCATTCACAGCATTATGCCCTCTTTCTTTCCAGGCTCATCAAATAAATTATAAAGTGTAAAATGTAGGTGAGAAGGGCAAATATGTCTAACTTTTAGTTCCCTTTCCTGCTTGCCTGTGGCTTCAGAGCATTTAAATTCTCTGCTAACAAAGAGTCCCACACAACCTCAGAGACTAACATGTTTATTATAGCATGGACTTTGGTGTACTATAGCCCCTTACTTCAGCTGCATGAAGTATTATCCAGAATTTCAGGGAGGAATATGGTTTATTTGTCAGACTAAATCAAATTCCCACCCAGCCATGGAAACTCATCTTCCTCCTCCTCTTCCTCCTGATCACTCTCATCTTCCTCCTCCTCCT